GAAAATTACAGAGTGTGTTTGAGTTCTTTTAAATCCTGTGCATGAGCCTTCTTGCCAGATTTCTGTCACTGGTTTTAAATTTTTAAGAACCTGGTTTAATTAAAGCTATTTAGTTGGTGTGAATGCGGTATTGGATCCAGTTGTAACTGGAGAAAAATGGGCATACAAATGCTTAGTTTCCTTTGTGTCAATCATGTACTTTTTCCCGAATACTAGCTTCTATGTTGCATCAACACTTTCTGAAACTTGTCTGACAGTTTTAAACATGAAGGGATGTATGGAAAAGATGCCTAAGAGAATTTAGATCCATTTTCAGTCTCTGTACTTGTTACACAAGCAAACATAAGTGAATATGTGTAGGTGTTTATCACAAGTTATTAGTTATTTAACAGGCACCCATTCCAAAAAACAATATGTTGAGGTGTAGAGAAAATATACCCTTGTGAATGTCCAAGAATGCTACCTGATTCAATTTCCAGGAAAACCTACCATGACTTTTACATTTCACAAACACCTATCCTTTCAGTCTTTCCAACACATTTTTACCTTAAATATTGAAAGGGTGCATGGATCGAAGCCTTTTAAGAAATAAATATTTAATGACTCGTGAGGTGATGTCAATTATTTCTTTCCTCACAAATAATCAGAAATTTATTTAAAAGGAAAATCTAGCAAATTATGAGAAGTCACCAGGCTTTTTTCCACGCATCCCTTCAATTATTAGGAAATATATCCATTTTAACTTTGATGGAAAAGGGGGCCATGTCAGGTGCTGTATTTTTCTAGTAGCTGTTTGAAACCAGTAATTATTGGTAACTGGTGTTGAAAGTTCTGATTTTGGAAAGCATGATTAGGCCTTGGAGGGGGAGATGATAATTAATTTTCGGATTTATGAAAACAAATTAAATCCATTATGTACAAAATAATGTGGAATGAGTGTCAGATGGTGTACCACATACAGTGTCTGATTTTCTAAACTCAGAGCAAAGGGAACATTTCCATTCTTTCTGCTTCTAAACATGCAAGAAGGTGGTTTCTCAGTTTTGTAGTATCAAACTTCAGCAAGTTAGGGGAAACACCATGTACCAAAGCTGTCGCAAATGCAGCGGCAAATACACCACAGTCTGATCCATTTCTCTGTTGTTGGATTGGTACAACATTTAGTCCAGAAAAACTATCAGTTCCAACTAGGTTTATAGCTTGCTCTTCAACTTCTTTTGATATTACATTGTGATACAAACGGTCATACAAATCGACAATACCATTACCGCATCCTACTGAGCTAATGCATACCCAGTGGTACCTGCCTGTATGCAGAATCTGCACAGAAGCGTTAATAACGTTTTTGAATTTTTTGGCCTAGTGTGTCATTACGAGTCTCGGGCTCTACTTCTGCTCAGCCTTCTTCTTTAATAGTTTGAAAGCAAGCATGTAGATTACAGTCTTAGCTTAGACATCTATTAGTATAACACCAACTGTCTGTTAGCGCAGTGTTTCAACCAGTGGCTTGGGCTACACGTCGTTCAATGTGTCGCCAAATGTCTTGCTTTTTATTTTTGCTAGACTATCAGCCAGCGTGTGCACCACTGACTCGGGCTTCCTCTTTAGACGCGTGTGAGCCAGCGTGTCGACCAGTGTCTCCGACTCCGCAACGCCTAATTTCTTGTTAAGTGTCTCTGTTTCCACCTTTGCCTAGTGTGTCGCCCTGTGTCTTGTCCTTTACATCGCCGGGTGTTTCTAAAGTGTCTTATCTTATAATTCTTTGATGTGTTAGGCAGCTTCTTCACCAGTGCTTCGGCCTTTACACTGTCTAGATTTTCGCCATGTGTCTTGACTTCAACCTCTACAACCGTTGAACCTAGCGCGTCTAGCAGTACCTCGGCCTACACATCGGATAGAGTGTCGGAAGTGTCTTGTCTTCCACCTCTGCGAGCTTGACTGCTAGCTTATCAACCAGTGCTCTTGACATTACTTAGTATTTCGCCAAGTGTCGTTACCTCCCCCTCTTTTAGCCTCTTAGCAATAGCGTCGGCCAAAGCTTTACATTACCTATTATGTTGTCTAGTGTCTTGGGCTGTTGAAAGTGTTCACCAAGGCCTTTATATGCATATCGCCCAGTGTGTCACCAATTGTGTCCGCCTCCACTTCTAATATTCTGTCAGCGAGCGTGTAGACGAATGCCTGGGAATCAACTTCGCTTAGTGTGCCGCCAATTGGCCCGGCCTCTTTCAGTGCAAGGGTTTTAGCGGGCGTGTTCACTAGTGCCTCGGCCTCTTTAGTCTTTTAGTGTCTCGCCCACGGTCTTAACCTTCTCTAATTGAATTGCTTCAACCAGCGTTTTCTCCAGTGCCTTGCCTATCTCTTTCCCGACAGTGTCGCAAAAATTCACGGAATTCTCATCTTCAATAGTGATAAGGAGCGTGTCCATTTAAGCCCCGCTCTCCACATTGGTTAGTCGGTCGCTAAGTGTCTCGGCCTCCATCACCGCTATCGTGTTAGCCTCCACGTCGACTGAGTGCTGAAAGGTCTGGCTAAGGAAACAAGAAATGCCTCGGCCTCAACATCTCCAAGTATATTACCATCTGCCTTTAGCTGAGCAGGACTATGGGGTACGCGTTAAGCAGACCTTTCGCTTCCACATCGCCTGGTGTGTCTGCAAAAGTGTCGGTCTACACCTCTGCTAGCGTGTGACCTAATGGACTGACGAGAAAATGTCTCTATCTAGCTCAGTGTGTCACAAACTGTCTCAGCTTCCACACCTGATACCCTTTAAGCCACCATGTGGACCAGTGCCTCGGCCTCCACATCTTGGCTTCCGTGTCACCTGAACCGAAACCTCTTTTTTCGTGATAGGCAGCGTGTTTACTTGTGCCTCGGCCTCCAAATCGCTTAGTATTTCTCCAATTGTCTCGGAAACCACTCCTGCTACCGCGTCTGCTAGCGAGTCCATCGGTGGTTCGGCCTCTACACTGTGTGTCAGCAAGTGTTTTGGCGCCACACCTATTAGTGTTTAAACCAGCATGTCGACCAGTGCTTGGGCCTTCACATTGCCCAATGTGTCACAAATTGTTTTGGCCTTCACCTATGCTAGGATGTCAGTTAAATTGTCGCCCTGTGCGTTGGCCTGAACATTACCAAATGTGTCTCCAAGTGTTTCGGGCTCCACCCCCGCTAACGTGCCAGCCAGCGGGTGGACTAGTCTCTTGGCCTCCATATTGCCCACTGTAGCCCTCATATCGCTTAGTCTTGCGCCAAAAGTTTCGGCCTCCATATCTGACACCGTGTCAGCCACTGTATTGACCAGTGCCTCGGCCTCCAGATCACAGGGTATGTCACCAAGTGTCTCGTCTTCCCGCTCTGCGAGCGTGTTAGCCAGCGTGTACAACACTGCCTTGGCCTACAAATTGCCCACCGTCTCTTCAAGTCTCTCGCCTTGCTAATGTGATCGTGTTATCCTGCTTCTCGACCACTGCTTTGGTTTCCACATCGCCCGGTGTGTTCCAAGTGTCTCAACCTCCAGCTCTGCTACTGTGTCAGCAAGAGTGTCAAACATTGTTTTTGCCTCTACATCCCTTAATATGTTGACAAGTATCCTAGCCTTTACCTTCGCTACCGTGAAAGCTATACAATGTCGAAGAGTGTCTTGGCCTGCACATCTGGTAGAGTCTCAGCCAGCGTGTCATCCAGTGTGTTGCAAAGTGTCTGTCCTGTTCGACAGGGTCTCGACTTACCCACCGCCCATTGTGTCGCTATTTCACTACTTTCTGCATTTAATAGCGTCTCAGCTAGCGTCTTGACTTGTGTCTCGGCCTCGTCATTACCCAGTGTGTCGTGAAGTGTCGAGAATTATTTCGGCTTCGGAAACCAAAGTTGTCCCCAAATGTCTCGGAGTGCACCTCGGCATGGAGTTCTGGCATGTCGACCACTGCTTCAGCCTTAACATTGACCAGTTTTTTTCTCTCAGCCACCTGTGCCATTCTTTAAGCGTGGACCAGTCTCTTGTTCAGTTTATCGCTTCGTGTGCGACAAGTGTCTTGGTGTGCATCTCTTCTAGCGTGTTAGCCATTGTTTCTACCAGCTGTGTTTCTTTAAGCCTGTTAGCCTCGACCTCTGCTAGCCTGTCATGTAACATGTTCACTTCCACCTCGGCCTTCACATCGCCCATTGTGTCGCATAGTGTCTTCTGCTTTACAACTGCTAGCGTCTTATCTAGCATGTCAACCAGTGCATTAATCTTTTCATCGACCAGTGTCTCTTTAAATTTGTCGGCTTTCACCCTAGCTACCGATTAACGCAGCTTGTCGACCCGTGCCTTTTCTTACACTTTGTTAGGTTTGTCGCCAAGTGTCAAGTCCTGCACCTCTTTTATCGTGTTAAACAGCGTCTAAACCAGTGCCTTGCACTCCACATTCCGGATTCTCTTGCCGTGAGTCTTGTCCTTTACAGCCTAGTGTAACGAACTATTTTCTCTGTTACTTTTGCTAGCGTCTCATCCGACCTGTGGACGGGTGCGTCGTTCATTACATCGTCAAGTGTGTCGCAAAAGTCTTACTCGTCTCCTCTGCCAACCCCTCAGCTAGAGTTTTGACTAGTGCCCTGGAACGAAAATCGCCTAATGTGTTACCAGGTGTCTTGACTTCCACACGTCGACCTCTGCCTTTTGATTCGTATCGCCTACTAGGTTGCCAAGCGTGGTTCCCTACACTACTAATAGTCTGTCAGCAATTGTGCGGAGAAATGCCTAGAACTCAACATCGCATAGTGTGTTGCCAAGATTCCGGGCCTCCTGCTCTACTAACATTTAAGCTGGCATGTTCAACGTTGCCTTGACGTTTTCATTGTTTAGTGTATTGCCAACGGTCTCGACCTTCACTACTTCGATAGCTTCAACCAGCGTTTTAAACAAGGCCTTTGCCCTGTCTTCGCCGATTGTGTCGCCAACTGTCTTGGACTCTTCATCCGTCGTCGTGTTAGCCTGCGTGTAAGGCAGGATGTGAATAAGTGCCTCCACATCTCACAAAGTGTCGTTAAGTTTGTTAGCCTCCACCTTGGCTTGCGTGGCTTCAACCTTCTGGATTAGTGCCTTGGCCTGCACATCGCAAAGTGTCTCTCTAAGTGTCTCGAGCTACACCCCGGCTACCCCGTTAGCGAGGGAGTCGACAAGTACCTCGTCCTCTACATCTTTCCGTGTGGCGCCAAGTGTCACAGAGCCTAAACCATTAGACTTCCAACCATCCTGTAGCCGACTATCTTAAAATTGCCAGTGTTTCGCCAAGTGTTTAAAGACTAACACTTGCTATCAAGGCAGCTAGCGTGAAGACACCTATCTCGTGCTGCCCATCATTTAAAGTTTCATTAACCTTCTCCGTTTCCACCCTTTATTGCGTAGGAACTAATGTATAAAACAGTTTCTTGATCTGTATATTGCCAATTGTATGACCAAGTTTCTAGTTCCCAACGTAGGCTTGCGCGCCAGCCAACATGGTGATCAGTGCCTTGACTCTCACATCAGCTACTATAGCGCGAAGTGTCTCGTCCTCCTGCTTGGTAGCACGTCAGCTACAGTGTCGCCCTATCCAAGTTTGTCACCAAGTGTCTCGGAGTTTAGTCCGCCTAGCCTTTAAGAAGGTCATCGACCATTCTATCGGCCTTGACATCGCTTAGTATATTGCAACGGTTTCAGCAACAACCTCTGGTAGCGTCACAGCGAGCGTGTGTACTTTCGTCTCGTCTGCCGCATCGCCCATTGTCTCAGCAAATGTCTCGGCCTCTAAGTCAGCTGGTGTGGCAGCCAGCGCGACGGTTAGTGCCTTGCCCTCTGCATCGCCTAGTCTCTCGCCAAGTATCTTCTCTTTTACAGTGTTGTATCTTAGCCAGATTGTCCGACAAAGCCTCGCACTGCATAAAGCCCAGACTATCGTCAATTCTCTCTGCTTCCACTTGCAAGCTTGTCATCGTTCATCTCGACCACTGCTCCGGTCTCCACATCTCCCGCTGTGTTGCCACGTTTCTCTACCTCCACCTGTGCTACTGTGTCAGCAAGAAAGTCGACAACTACCCTCTACATCTTTTAGTATGTCAACAAGTGTCTCGGCCTTTACTTTTGTAGCGTTTTAGCTACCGTGTCGAGTAGTGTCTCGGCCCGCACAAGTGCTAGAGTGTCAGCCATCGAGTCGACCACTGCCTTACCCGCTACATGAAAAAACTGTCGGGAAGTGCTTCGGCTTTCCGATTACCGGGTGTGCGGCCAATTGACTCGTCTCTACATTTAATAGCGTCTAAGCTAGTGTGTTGACTTATGCCTCGGGCTCTAGATTACGCAGTGTGTTGCAAAGTTTTTTGCCTCCACCAAAGCTAGTGTGTCAGCCTTCGTGTTAACCCGTACCTCGGTCTCTGCATCCCTCATTGAGTCGGGCTGCAACTCCACTAGCGTGTTCCAGCACGTAAACCACCGCTTCGTTCTCCATATCGCGCGGTTTTTTGGCGAGTGTAACCACCTCCACCTGTTATACTCTTTATCTGGGCCAGTACATCGCTTAGTGTGTCGATAAGTGTCTTGCCATCCATGTGTACTAGCGTGTCAGCCAGCATGTTGACCAGCTCCAGTTCGTCCGGTTTGTCGCCAAGTGCTTTAGCCTCCGCCTCAGATAGCCCGTTTGCGATCGTCTTGACCAGTGCCTCTTGCCTCACATCGCGCAGTGTTCCGCCTAATCTCTATGTCTTAACATTTGCTAACGTGTCATCCAGCGCATCAATCAGTGTAACGGCCTTGTTATCGACAAGTGTCTTCCCAAGTTTGTTAACCTCCACCTCTGCTAGCGTGTAAGCTAGCGTTTTGTCCAGTGCCAAGACGTCCACTTCGTCAAGTGTGTCGCCAAGTGATTTTCCTCCACTTCTGCTAGGGTGTAATACAGCGTGGCGACGAGTGCCTCGGCCTCGAAAACATTCAGTCTGTTGCCATGAGTCTCGTCCTCCACCACTGATAGTGTGTCAGCCCGCCTGTCGATTTGTTCCTTGGCCTATACATCACCCACTTTTTCCAAACGCTATAAATCTTTACTTCTACAACCGTGTCGTTTAGCGTGTCAACCAGTGCTTTTCCCTCCACGTCGCTTAGCGTTTTGCCAATTGTCTTTGCCTGCAGCTTTGCTAGTGGGTCGGCCAGCGTATCCAGAGGAGTTTTGGCCATCTCTTTGGCTAGCGTGCTGGCCAGCTTGTCCACCAGTGCTTCGAATTTTATTTCACATAGTGCTTCGTTAACTGTCTTGCATTGCAGCTTTGCTTGCGTGTCAGCCAGCATCACCCATTGTGTCACGAAATGTCTTGGCATCCACTCTTGGGTGTCAGCCAGCAGGTGCACTAATGCACTGGACTACCTATGCCCAGTGTGTCAGCCAGCGTATCAAAAAGTGCCTTGCCATCGACAACGTCTAGTCATTCGCCGAGTGTCGTTCCTCTACCTCTTCTTGCGTATTGGCAAGCCTGTTGACCAAAGCTGCA